TCAAGAGATTGGTATGTTGGCTAGATGCTTCTGCTTGCCTCATGTTTCCATTCGCGTTTGGAAGATCAATAAAAACGAAACTCCCTTATGTCCTACTGCTAATAGGTAGGTAGTATATTATTTGAAAACTTTTTGAATATATTTCTATTGTTGTCACCTTGTAAGGGAATGTGATAGCCACTGTTCATAGAACATAATTTCTTGGCTGTCTTAGTTTGATATGCTATTGTTGTGGATATTCTGAATGTTATTAGTAACTAGTTATTCTGATTGATAAATTTAGTCTTCATTGAACTTTATGTGACCAACTTGTGAATCTTTATTCTGAATGATGATTTTCTTAGTTTGATATGCTGTTGTGGTACTTTTTTCTTAATAGTGGTGTAACTAGTGTATTTGTGCAGTGAAATCTCTTTAAACAATATCAGATAAACTAAAGAATGTGAATTAGAAAGTGATATAACACTCTTGCATTGAGGGTTTGGTAATGATAATACAAGTCCTTCATGTAATATGTTGAAATTTCATGGAAGCCACCTTGATCTAGGTATGAAAACAGGGCTTATCACTGGCATTTTGTCCATAACTGTAAGTTTAACAATATTAATTTCCCTTTATCTTTACTATATATATTCTATATTAATCATGCAGAAAATTTGGAAGTTAATTTCCTTGCATAATATAGTCCTGATCCATTTATATAGAGTGAATCTTCCTTACCCTTTCCACTGGGGGAGTCTTACCTTCAATGTTGCAGAAGTTTTTCCTAGGATGGTTGCTTCTTTAGTTTAGCTTTTTGAGGTATACAGTTCACTTGTTGCCCTAACGTGTTTTCGTTTATTTCAGTATGCAAAACCGGATTCTAAAATAGGATTTCCAGTTGCTCTTGAACAAATTTCTCAAGAATGTAAGATTTATTGCAATTTGATTAACTTGTTGATTCATGGAGCGACTAATATAAGGTGTGCTGGAATTTGACAGTGTAAAAGAAAAGAGCTTAAAGTGGTTGTTGCATCTAGTGCCGATCGAATAAAGGTTGATGCAAATCTAACTGCATCTGGTTTGCCATTGTCAATGTAAGCCAACATTCTGAGGGATTTGTTGAATGTGCATGGAGATATTATTGACCTACAACTATGATTGATAATATGTAGTATATATTATTTCTATTTTCTTTTTGAAATTTTAATGCAAACTCTTCAATTAATTATAACCACACTGACACATTAAAACAAAGTAGTCTAAGATGAGCTTTAAGTCCACTGCTTATTATATACTAAGTTGTTATATGTTTAATTTAAAGAAATGTAAACAAAATATATTTTCTATGCATTTTATGCCTTGTTTCATAAGATTTACTTCAATTATTTCTTGTTGTCTGTTGCGATGAGAATCAGATATCAAGTTATTGATTAACTTGAACTACAAATCTTTAAATATTCACCACCAAGCTTTGATTTATCCAAAGGAAATGGTAAAGATCGAAGAAAACCTTAAGTGCGCTACATAACAATGAAGTTAAGAGATCGGGGGTTGGTTATACTAAGGAAAGATATTAGCACCTTAAGCATCTGTAGTATTTTACAGGAGCCTCTTATTTGGTATTTGTGTTTTTGTTAATGTTTTTCTGCTAATGGTAATATGTTAAGGTAAAGACCTAGGGGTATATACACTAAGTATGCTCGCCAAGACGTCGCATCTCGTACCTATGTATCCTAACTAGGATGGAATCATAGCAACCGTAGTTCTCCTAAGTAGGGTGAAAGAACTTTTGACTATGGTCAAAGTTTCAAGGGGAATAAGCATCCATAACAATGATACTTATATAGAGTTAACAAACTCTCTAAGTCTAAGTTGGAAGTCCTAACTAGGGATTGACTTTAACAAAAGTCAAAGGGGAAAGGTGAGTACCCATAACAATGATACACACATAGAGTTAACAAACTCTAGTCCTAAGTTCTAAGTTGTAGGATTCCTAATAAGGTGTGTTAAAGTTATTGACTTGACAAAGTCAAAAGGTAGTGGGTTCTAACTAAGGCTAAATTGGAAATCCTAATGAACTAACAAGGTCAAAGGGAGAAGGGAATAAATGATTTATCTATGACATTGAGTCAATAGAGAGACTTTCCTTTGGACTTAGGAACGCATAAAACTCTTTTGGAGGATAAGAGTTAACAAGCTACATCACTTGGGGGAACTTCAACAAAGCTTAAGCATATATATTCATTCAAACACGATGAAGACATAAAATCATGGTAATAACCAAGAAAGTAAAGCAAGCATGTGACAGTATCAAGCAAAACAAATAACAAGGTTACAACCAAGTATTCATCCATAGAACTTCAGAATTAAGCCAAATGGTTACAACCAATGGTAAACATAGATGTTACAACATCTAGATGGCTATGAAATAAGGTTCTTGCAAGACCAAAAATCATAGATGACAAGTACAAGTGAATCATATATAAGTCAAAACATTACTTATCATGACAAGGTTCAAAAATCAAGATCCACACGCATAAATCATAAAAACCACAACACGCATAAATCATAAAAACCATACAACGCAAAAATTAAGGTTAAATTTATAAAAACCAAATTTGGAGCATTTTTCACAAGGATTTTAAATATATCATCAACTCATCATAAAAACAGTTGAGCAAACCACTAACCAATCAACAACAATGCAATATCATAAAGGTTCGACATGTCAAATCATCACATATTCAACTCATACAACGCAAACACTTGATTCAAACAGATATCACATGGTATTATCTATATTTTTTCTTCACAAATGAATCACTGATGGTGCATGAAATAAGAAGTTCAAAGAGTGAGAAGCTTACCTCTTGGAGACAGTCCAAGGCTTCTTCAAATGCTTGTACAGAAAGAAAAAAAGTGTCTCTTTAGCCTTGTTGGTCCTTGGAGAGTGTATTCAGATGACACAGTTGCTTGGAAATGACTTCAAGAATCAAACTCGTACCTTCTTGCAAAATGAAGGTTGAAAATTGTGGGTGAGATTTGAGGTGTTCCAGAACCTGTTTGATGGTTGGAACCAATTCTATGGAGTGTTGAGATATGGTTTGTGGTGTTTGTTTGTGAGTATCACGAAGTAAATGAGGTTGGCCAGAGGTTTTGCAAAATTGAAGTGTTTTTGCAAATTCTGTTGAAGAGAGTGGTTCTTGTGCGTTGGAGTATGATTGTTCTCTCTTTATTTTTTGCAGCTCAGAGGTGTCCTCTATTTATAGGAAAAGTGGAGGATTTGAGATCTGATCAGAATCTAAGGTTCATGAAGTTTTGGTATAGTTGATATTGGATGATATGGTTTCATGTAATTCCATGGGTTCAAGGAAAAGTACAAGTTGTAGGGTGATTGAGGGGTTGCTTCTAATGTGTTAGAGTAGGTTGAGTGCAGAAAGGAGAAAGGGGAGAGGCTCAAGACTAACTTTTGTATAAAGTAAGGCTTTATCAAAATGGAAGTCACCACTTTATGCCATAAATGGAAAATGCAAGTTGTTTGAGCTTTAATCCAAGGGATCAAGCTTCCAATCTTTTGTGTAATGATCTAATTAAGTGATATTTGCAATCAATCAAGTTCTTCAAAGCAAGATTGTATGGTAACCAACGATTTTGTATCAAGTTTATCATGTTGGAACACTTAGAAATCAAGTTTAGACAATGATATTACTCAACCTTTTGGTAGATACCTAGTATTAGAAACACGCCATGGACAATGTTATTACTCAATGGACAATGATATTAAATGGATTTATCCTCCAACGTCTCTCTTGAAATGCTTCTAAAAAATCTGCCTCTATAAAAGGGATTTGAAGATTTGAAATAATGTTACAACTTACAACAATGCAATATAACAACAATGATCATAACTTTGAGCGAAAGTTTTATAATTGTTTATTGCATAAGTTCTTAAGATTTTTTATCTTTGTATATCTTAAAAATTTTAAGTGTTAAGAATCTTTGTGGTTGTTGTATTGCTTTTATACCTCTGATTGAACATCAATTATAGTTGTTATCTTTTCTACTGAACTATTTGTTTAAAGTAGAGGAAGTCTCTTGCTAGTTTAGTTGAGGAATGGAAGTCTCTTGTTGGTTTGCTTAAGTAGTGAAAGTCTCTTACTAGGTTGCTTGAGCGGAAGTCTCTTTTTAGTATGATTGAACAGTTAAAGTCTCTTGCTAGTTTGCTTGAGCAAAATGTAATCAATTTGATTATAGTGAAAATCTTGTGTTGAACAAGGGGACTTGACTACTCTCAGTTTATGAGAGAAACATGTATAACTCTGTGTATTTCTTTACTTCTTGCTTTTGATTGCTATTTATTTTGCGACTAACATTTCTGATCAGACTCTGAACTTGTTCAGATTCTGAAGTTGATATTCAAAAGTTAAAAAGAATTAACATACATAATTCACCTCACCCCACTCTTGTGTATTTTTCTCACCTTCACTAAGAAGTCAAAAGTCTCCATGAATTTAAACGGCGGACATCTTAAAGCCTAATCGATAATTTTGATACCATATTAAAACTCGATCTAACTACTTTATATATATATTCTTTCAAGACTTTATCTCTAACCAATACCGAAATCTTTTCTATAGATATTCAAATATGTACCCAAACAAGTAGAACAATTTTATTACTATTTAGGTTATTCATTTCTTTCCATTAAAAGATTCATTTAACCTACTTTATTACTATTTTTACTCTCTCCTACCAAATTAGAAAGAAAAAAAATGGTCAAACTGAAAAAATCTGACAAATTCAAGTACATTAATAATTATGTATACTCCATTAAGCCAGCAATAAAAACAGAAATACAGAAGAGTTAAACAATTCAACAAAAGAGACAATTTACAATCAATAACACCACATGTCAAACAGAGCAACAGACAAAGAAGATAAGCCTCTAAACCTAAATGATGACAGCAACATTATTGAGCTGTGTCTGTCTCAATTCTTTCTCCAACAATCATTTCCTTTCAATAAGGTTTCTCTCCATAGTAATTCCCAGGAGGATCATAGTTACATGTCATAAAAGTACCTTTCCCTTCCGAACAAACAACACTAGCACATCCAACTCTCTTTGTATCACCCCAAACAACCTGTGTGTAATGTCCACACATTTCTCCATCAACACAGGAGTTATGCCAATAGTTGTAATACTGTTTCTCATCAACCCAAGCACTCACTGCTTGTGCTGGGTTCCATCCAACACCACTCCCCCAGAAAATGTTCTCGCCGTAGGGCCCGTTAGAATGCTCCAACGCGCAGTCGTTACGCCGCTTGTTCGCGTACCATTGCGCGTAATCGGTTAGCTTTTCGTCCCATATTAAGGGATGTAACCCCACCGAGGCCCGAGCAATGTTCTGAGGAATCAGAAATTGGTTCCGGAAGCTGCGGTAACTCGAATGTTTTTTGTTTGGAATATAACTTCCAGTCGCCGCATGGAAAGTGAATGTGATTAGGAAAATTAAGAGAGAGAAAGCGAAACACCTAAGAGTCATTTTGAGGATGTTTGTTGTTGTTGTGAGAAAGCATGTGTGAGAAGGGAGTATAAATAATGAAAATGTTGGGAATTTGAAATGAGTGAAAGTTTGCAATGTCAACTGTTTTAGGTTGCATTTAGTGGCATCCATGTTCAATTATCGTTGATATTTAATTGAAACGGTTATTGGTTTTATTTTTTCTGTTGATTTTGATTGGTTGGGTAGGAGTAAATGTCCACCTCTGTAGGCCAATGATGTTCAGATTCTCTTTTGTTAGCACATGGGATGTGTTACTTTTTTCTACCATGTGTGATTGGATAATTTCCGTGAGGTTTTTGGTTTTTTGGTTTTTTTAATCTAACTGAAAACCGGCCGTGATTTAAGTAGGTTAGATTTCACTTTCTTTAGAGGAATATTTTAAATGTTAATCTAAAAAATTATCATAAACGAGAAATAAAACTTAGATACAAAATTTTATGTGTAGTTTTTACTTTTAATCTTTATAGTTTTTTTCATTTTTTAAATATAAATTTTAAATACTACTTATATATCATAATGAAATGTTTAAAAGTTTGTCATAGGAAGAACTTATTTATCATCAATTTTTTAATGACATATTGCACATTATTATTATTTGTGGTTTGGTCTTTTTTTTCTGTTAAAATTTAATTTATGATAATATAGTAAAATTTAACAAGATTAACATTATTTAAATTAAGCTATCATAATTAAACATAAATAAATTAATAAATAAAATTATCAAATTTAAATGATCTTTGAACAACTTGACTTGAGTTAGTCTAAGGTAGTATTTTTAAACTTTTATAATGTTTAGAGCTAATTCAACTTCTTTCGTGCTACTATATCAACTTTAATAAAATTTTGAGACTCTTTATCACAATTTCTAAAAATTTTGAGGTATCATAATTTTAAGAATTTATTTAACATATAAAATTCTGAATGTTTATATTTCTTTATTAGTATGAATTCACACCTAGTTACAATTGATCTATATACAAAGATCGTGTTTGTATGAATCAAATTTTTGTTGAAATATTTATAGATAATTTCTTTAGCGATCTTTAATGAAGGGTGGCTTTATTATTTATTAGATTGAAATAATTTTATGGGTCTAAAAAATGTCTGCTCCATGATAAAATAATTCATAAAAGAAGATAACTAAATGCAGGAAGGTTGAGCGAACTCCTGAGATGAGCTTAATCACCTGAATTGGGTCTGGGCGTCCGAAGTGAGTTGGTCGCCCGAAGCATAAAGTGAGCTGGAAGATAGGGCTTGTGATTGAAATACACGATATGCCTCACTTGCCACACATGGTTTATGAGGCGTCTGAGGAATAACACTCAAGCGATGTCAATCAATGAGGAGAATAATTTTCCTATGTTTCAAGGAAGAATCAGTCTTCCCCACTCCCACGAGTTCCAGAGAGATATATACAAACTCTCACAACCACCGCATGAGTGAATTCTCCTTCTTTCACTATTGTACTTTTAGCAAGTATAATTGACATCCATCACGGGGCCGGTAAAAACTGATGGTCTCAAACTCAATCTACTTGATGGTGTTTTTAAGTACTGTGACACAACTACCAGCGTTTCAAATTGAAGATTTGGAAGAAAAAAAGTTATGTTCAATCGTATATCTCAAATTGTCCATTTATGGGGCATTACTGCCACTGACGTTCTCTACCATTTTCAATTGTTATGTTAATTTGAAAATTTAGTTGCTATTGAAAGAGGCTAAATAATATTTGGGGGTTCCTATATCAATCAAGTCGTTATGAAAGGTTTCGCTTTTTCTTGTCAATTATTAAGGGCTTTTGTGAAGTTTCTCCAACTCTTTCGATTCTTCTTTCACCTCTATCACTTCTTTAAAGAATTTCTCAAGAGTTTTCTCTACTGCGGTAGAGGTGTCCGACATCTTGATGATGTAATGATTTTTGTCGATCTCTTCGTTATGGATAGGTGGTAAGTTGTTCATATTTATTTTACTTTATTTTGTATGACTTTCACACACCAGTATGGACTGGGTAGAAAATTGTTGTTGCAATCATAAATTTGATGTTTTAAAGAAAACCATATATTGGATTTTGTTTCGCGAGAAAACCATAATTGATAGGACATCAGAGGTTGCAGATTGCAACGCTGGATTTGGACTTCTGGTACGGTAGGAGAGGAGCTGATCTACAATGTTAGTCTTGAAAAAAAAACAAAGCATAGAGAAAAAGATGAACAGGATCACAACACATGATCATAATGTGGAAACTCCAAAACTGGAGAAAAAAACTACGACCGTTATCAATAGACAACCAGAGAATAACACTATGTGAAAATTGTTACAACACATATACTCTCAACTAACCCAGACCCCCAGTACACCCACACCAAAACAAATATTTAACTACATCTTACAACACTCTACTACAAGAGTATAAGAGAACAAAGAAAGTCAAATACAAGCTTAAAGTTCTTTCGACTGGTGCATCTTGGAATGAGGAACTTGAATCCTATATATAGCATTAGACTCCCACTTCCTTCACAAAACTAAGTGATGTGGGACTTCAAATAACTTGTATTATATATATAGCCTTGGACTCTCTCTTCATTCACAAAACTAAGCGATGTAGGACTTCTTTAACATGTTTATTTTCAACCAACCCTAACAATCTCCATCTTAATTGAAAATAATACATAAGATTTCATTGTCTTCACCTCCAATCATGCTCCATCATAAAGAGTATAGTCACTTGAAGCTACACCACTCCAAGAATTTCACATTGTCTTCACCGACAATCATAGTTTTTAAAAACTATCATACTCCACCTAAAGAAGAGTATACTTCACTTAAAGTTAAACCACTTCAAGAATTTTCCCATGTCGAAAACCAGGTTGAAACATTGTGGTGCAAATTCCTTGTTAGCAGGAAGCTTTTCAACCATCACCATAATCTCACAACATACTTTGCATTAATGCTCATGTGTTAATCCGCTAGCAATAACTCGTCATTTTCCATGACAACGAAAATGTCATGAGGACATACTTCTCAATTTTCAGAGAAGACCAGCCTTTCTCTCAGCGAGAGAGACATTGCTAGCATTTGACTCAGAGCCCTTCTCTGACGCAGCCCCATCGAGACACTTATACTTTATATGTGCAAGCTTTCCACATTTGCAACATCTCACACCAATTTCATTGTTTTTCTTCACATACGACCTTCCTCTAGCAACCAACACTGAGTTTGATGAAGTATTCTCATCATCTTTCAATCTTCTTTCTTCAGAAATAATCTTACTAGCAACTTCTTCAAACTTAAAAGTTTTCTTCCCATATATTAAAACGGGTTTAATATGCTCATAGGAAGATGGAAGAGACCATATGAGTCTCAAAGCTTTATCTTCATCATCAATCTTGAATCCAATAGTTTCTAATTCAGAAATAATACCATTTAGAACACTTAGATGATCAGATAGTTCTGTATGTTCATCCATACGCAAGCCATAAAACATGTTCCTTAAACAATAAACAATTTGATATACCCTTTCCTTGATATAGCCCTTCAAGTTTCTCCCAAAGCTCTTTGGATGACAATGTACCAAGAAAATTTTCACGAATATTCTTAGCCAAAGAGATGTGGATTATACTCGAAGCTCTCAAATCTAATTCCTCCCACTTCTCATTTTCCATGTTGGAAATGTTTTCTTTCAACGCCTTGTGTAATCCTAATTGTATCAAAACATTTTTTACTTGAATTTTCCACAAGCCAAAATTAATTCTTCCATCAGATTTCTCTAAGTCAATCTTCGCTGCACTTGAAAAACTTGACATTTCAACCAAAATCTTCCCTGCAGCAAAACAAAATTTTACCAACCAACACAAAGTATAAAATATCTTTTCTGATGTGGAAAATCAGGAAAAAATGTAACCATAGAGCATACTAAAAAAATTTATACCCCACTAAATTAAGGCTCTTGATACCACTTGTTAGGAAAAAAAGTATAGAGAAAAAAGATGAACACAAAAACATAACGTGGAAACTCCAAAACCGAAGAAAAAACCACGATCGTTGTTAATAGACAACTAGAGAATAAAACCATGTGAACATTTTTATAACATGTATACTCTTAACTAACCCAGACCCCAAGTACACCCACATCCTCCAAAACAAATATTTAACTACATCTTACAACACTATAATACAAGAGAATAAGAGAACAAAAAAAAAGTCAAATATAAGCTTAAAGTGCCTTTGACTGATGCATCTTGGAATGAAGAACTTGAATCCTATATATAGCATTGGACTCCCACTTCCTTTACAAAACTAAGCAATGTGGGACTTTAAATAACTTATATCATATATATAGCCTTGGACTCTCTCTTCATTCACAAAACTAAGCGATGCAGGATTTCTTTAACATGTATATTTTTAACCAATCCTAACAGTTAACACTCTAACACTCAAGTCAGTATGAAAATAAGATGAGTGAATGCAGTTTGAATTTGAATTATACCTAGAAAATGGCGCACTTCCATTTTATATAGTAACTTGTTTATCTCTGGGCGTAGAATGTGAAGATTCGTTGGATGGATCCCGAATTCGAATCATCTGCGCTCTAATTCAAGATAGCACTCGTGCGCCGTGAGTGATTTATTAGATTGACACATTCTCTGGGACGCGACTATTAGCTTTATGATCAGCTCATAAAGTATTTCATGTCGCAACAAATTCTTTGGGTTAAACAGAGGTATTGAAAAATTGACTGCAACTTAGATTCCCTCACCGAATGCATCACATGTGATTATAGATAATTCAAAGTTCAACTAAATTCAAAATTATAGGATAATCTCGTTACATAAGCTCTATTATGCTAGATTTTTGTTTGAAAACTGTGGTTTGGGGCGTAAAGAAACTCTACATGTGTTCTTTTTATGTTATATAAACTTAAACGTGTTTAAATTTTGACGATAAGCCATCTTACATACTAAGCAGTTTTCATATCATTA